GGCAAATAGCTAGGCAGGAAGAGGTTAGGCAGAAGCCACACTGAGGGAACACTGGGAGGAAGAACGTCAGAGCTGCAAGGAAACACAGAGGAAGCTGGAGATGAACTTGCCATGCTGAAAAAAGTTCCTGCCATGTGATAGAGCATAAATTAATAAATATGGGTTAATTTAAGTTGTAAGCGCTAATTAGTAACAAGCCTAAGCTATTGACTGAGTATTTATAATTAATAATAAGTCTCTATGTGGTTGTTTGGGAGATGGTTGGCAGGACAGAAAGTTACACTGACAAAGCTGATAAAGTTCTAGAACTTTGTCTCATAGATACCATCTAATAACTATTATTTAAGCTATAAGAAATCATGTTTCTAATATTTGATGACAAAGCAAGAGGATTGGATTACCACAGTAGAACAGTGGCTTAAATCCTGCACTTAGTGATGCTAAGCCATGGAGTATTCTTCACTTTCCTTTAACCTTGATCTTCGCCCTTGCCAAAAAGCTCGTATAATTCCTCTGTGCATGATTTTTTTGTTTATTTGTTTAAGCCAAGGAGAGTATTCCTGGCATTTACTCTGTTATGGTACGTTAAGTTAACAAGTTTTACTCAATTCCATTATTGAAAGAATTTGGGAAAATGACAGGATGAGATCACACTTTGGCAGTGGACAATAAAGCCAGTATTAAAAAGTGTGCACAAGAAATTTGTTCATTTCTTTTAGATTTTCCAATTTTGTGGAATACAGGTTTTTGAAGTATGACCTAATAATTTTCTGTGTTTTCTCAGTGTCTGTTGTTATGTCCTCTTTTTCATTTATAATTTTGTTAATTTTGATATTCTCTCTATTCCTTTTAGTTAGTTTGGATAAGGGTTTATCTATCTTGTTGATTTTCTTGAATAACCTGTAGCTAGAGTTTTCCTGCCTGGCCCACAGTCAGGACAAATCTCTATCACCCACCAGTCCCACAGCCACTCAGACCTGACCAAGTAAACACAGAGACTTATATTGGTTACAAACTGTATGGCCATGGCAGGCTTCTTGCTATCTACTTCTTCTATCTTGAATTAACCCATTTCTATAAATCTATACCTTGCCACATGGCTTGTGGCTTACCAGCATCTTCATGTGCTGTTTGTCATCATGGCGGCTGGCAGTGTCTCCCTGACTCAGCCTTCCACTTCCCAGCTTTATTCTCCTCCTTGTCCTGCCTACACTTCCTGCCTAGCCAATGGCCAATCAGTGTTTTATTTATTGACCAATCAGCAACACATTTGCCATACAGAACACCCCACAACCAACTCCTTGTTTCATTGATTTTTTGTGTTGTTCTCTTTGTCTCTATTTCATTGATTTTAGCCCTCAGTTTATTTCTGGCCACCTACTCCTCTTGGATGTGTTTGCTTCTTTTTGTTCTAGAGCTTTCAGGTGTGCTGTTAAGTTGTTAGTGTGAGATTTCTCCAAATATTCATGAAGTCACTTAGTGCTATGAACTTTCCTTGTAGCAACACTTTCATTATGTCCCATAAATTTGTGTATGTTGTGCATTCATTTTCATTGAATTCTAGGAAGTCTTTAATTTATTCCAAGACTCAGCTGTACACAATTCTTGGACATATACCCAAAGGATGCTCAATCATACCACAAGAACACTTGCTCCAATATGTTCACAGCAGCTTTACTTGTAGCAGCTGGAAACTGGAAACAACCCAGATGCCCATCAACTGAAGAATGGATAATGAAAATGTGGCACATTTACACAATTGAGTATTACTCAGCTGGTAAAAACAATGACATCAGGAATTTTTTTTTAAATTTATTTATTTATTATGTATACAGTGTTCTGCCTGCAGGCCAGAAGAGGACACCAGATCTCATTATAGATGGTTGTGAGCCACCATGTGGTTGCTGGGAATTGAACTCAGGACCTCTGGAAGAACAGCTAGTGCTCTTAACCTCTGAGCCAACCTTCCAGTCCCTGACATCAGGAAATTTGAAGGCAAATGGACAGAACTAGAAAAAAAATCATCCTGATGAGGTAACTGAGACACAGAAAGACAAACATGGTATGTTGCTGTGGGATGTTCTGTATGGCAAATGTGTTGCTGATTAGTCAATAAATAAAACACTGATTGGCCATTGGCTAGGCAGGAAGTGTAGGCGGGACAAGGAGGAGAATAAAGCTGGGAAGTGGAAGGCTGAGTCAGGAGAGACACTGCCAGCTGCCATGATGAGAAACAGCATGTGAAGATGCCGGTAAGCCATGAGCCATGTGGCAAGGTATAGATTAATGGAAATGGATTAATTTAAGCTGTAAGAACAGTTAGCAAGAAGCCTGCCATGGCCATACAGTTTGTAACCAATATAAGTCTCTGTGTTTACTTGGTCGGATCTGAGTGGCTGTGGGACTGGCAGGTGAGAGATTTGTCCTGACTGTGGGCCAGGCAGGAAAACTCTAGCTAAAGTATGTACTCACTCAGAACTGGATGTAAGCTGTAAAGTAAAGGATAACTATGCTACAATCCACAGACCCAGAGAGAGACTAAGTAACAAGATGGCCCAATTGGGGACACATGGATCTCGCTGGGAAGGGGAAATAGAAGAGATATTGTGGGTGGACTGGGGGCTGATAGGGATGGGAACATGAGATATTGGGATGGGGATGGGTGGAGGGGAAAATACTGAAGTAATGACAGGAAAGGAGGGTGCATTTCAGGGTAGAAACCTGGTGCAAGGGAAACTCCAAGGAATCTACAAGGATGACTCCACTAAGAATCTTAGCAATAGTGGATATGTAGACTGAACTGGATATCTCCTGTGATTAGATTGGTGACTTCCCCAATTGTCATCAGAGTCTTCATCCAATAACTGATGGAAAAAGATATGCAGACTCACAGCCAAACATTAGGCAGGTTTGGGGAATCCTGATGAAGAGAGAGAGGAAGGACTGTAGGAGCCAGGAGGGTCAAGGACATCACATGAAAACCCACAGAAACAGCTAACCTGGGATCATAAGAACTCACAGAGTATGAACCAACAACAAGGGAGCCTGCATTCCCTGGTAGAATTATTTTTCCAGGCTTAGGTGGGGTACCACCCCTATCTATTTCTTTTTTTTTTTTTGACTGTCTTAAAGAATTTATTAAGATCAAGATGCAATTTATAGGAATCCATGTTATCATGAACAATTTACAACATTATAAATATGAATTATATAACAAAGTAGAGGTTATAATCAATTGGAAAAAGCTACTTATACAAACAAATCACCTGTACATAGTGGTAACGTTACCTCTATATTTCCTAGTATGTTTTTATAGTATGTCGGGCACAATATTCTTTTTTTTTTTTTTTTTTAAGCAGCATGTCTTTATTGGTCATCTGTTCCTCTTTCTTTCTTTTTTTCTTTTTTTTTATTTTGCAATACAATTCAGTTCTACATATCAGCCACGGATTCCCTTGTTCTCCCCCCCTCCCGTCCCCCTCACCTTCCCCCCCCAGCCCCCCCCCCCCATTCCCATCTCCTCCAGGGCAAAGCCTTCCCCACAGACTGAGATCAACCTGGTAGACTCAGTCCAGGTAGGTCCAGTCCCCTCCTCCCAGGCCGAGCCAAGCAATCCTGCATAGGCCCCAGGTTTCAAACAGCCAACTCATGCAATGAGCACAGGACCCGGTCCCACTGCCTGGATGCCTCCCAAACAGATCAAGCCAATCAACTGTCTCACCCATTCAGAGGGCCTGATCCAGTGGGGACCCCTCAGCCATTGGTTCATAGTTCATGTGTTTCCATTCATTTGGCTATTTGTCCCTGTGCTTTATCCAACCTTGGTCTCAACAATTCTTGCTCATATAAACCCTCCTCATTCTCATTAATTGGACTCCCAGAGATCCACCCAGGGCCTAGTCATGGATCTCTGCATCCAGATCCCTCAGTAGTTGGATGAGGTTTCTAGCATGACAATTAGGGTGTTTGGCCATCCCATCACCAGAGTAGGTCAGTTAGGGCTGTCTCTCGACCATTGCCAGCAGTCTGTTGTGTGCGTATCTTTGTGGATTTCTGTGGGCCTCTCTAGCACTTTGCTTCTTCCTGTTCTCATGTGGTCTTCATTTACCATAGCAAAGGATACGGTCAACAAGGCAAAGCGACAGCCTACAGAATGGGAAAAGATCTTCACCAACCCCACATCTGACAGAGGACTGATATCCAGAATATATAAGGAACTCAAGAAATTAGACATCAAAATGCCCACCAGTCCAATTAAGAAATGGGCTATAGAACTAAACAGAGAATTCTCAACAGAGGAAACTCAAATGGCCGAAAGACATTTAAGGAATTGCTCAACATCCCTAATCATCAGGGAAATGCAAATCAAAACAACTCTGAGATACCACCTTATGCCTGTCAGAATGGCTAAGATCAAAATCACTGAAGATACCTTATGCTGGAGAGGATGTGGAGCTAGGGGAACTCTCCTCCACTGCTGGTGGGAATGCAAGCTTGTACAACCACTTTGGAAATCAATATGGCGCTTTCTTAGAAAATTGGGAATCCAGCCGGGCGGTGGTGGCGCACGCCTTTAATCCCAGCACTCGGGAGGCAGAGCCACGCGGATCTCTGTGAGTTCGAGGCCCGCCTGGTCTCCAAAGCGAGTTCCAGGAAAGGCGCAAAGCTACACAGAGAAACCCTGTCTCGAAAAAAAAAAAAAAAAAAAAAAAACCAGAAAATTGGGAATCCATCTCCCCCAAGATCCAGCTATACCACTCTTGGGCATATACCCAAGGAATGCTCAACCACACCATAAGAGCACTTGTTCAGCTATGTTCATATCAGTATTGTTTGTAATAGCCAGAACATGGAAACAACCTAGATGCCCTTCAACTGAAGAATGGATAAACAAAATGTGGTACTATTTCTTTTTTTAAAAATTATTAAGAAATTTTCTATTCACTTTACATACCAACCACAGATCCCCACCTCTTCCCTCTTCCCACCCCCAGCCTTCCTCCAACCCACTCCTCATCCCCACATTTCCTAAGTCAAGGTCTCCCAAGAGGAGTCAGCAGAGCCTGGCACACTGAGCTGAGGCAGGCCCAAGCCCCTCCCCCCTGCACCGAGGCTGTGCAAGGTGTCACACCCTAGGTACTGGGCTCCAAAAAGCATGCCCATGCACCAGTGATGAATCCCAATCCCTCTGCCTGGGGGCCCCCCAAACAGTTCAAGCTAAACAACTGTCTCCTATATCCAGAGGGTCTAGTCTAGTCCTATGGAGGCTCCATAACTATTAGTCCACAGTTCATGGGTTTCTACTAGTGTGGCTGGTCATCTCTGCACATTTTCCCATCATGATCTCAACGTCCTCTACCCACAGAATCCCTCCTCTCTCTCATTGATTGGATTCCCAGAGCTTAGCCTGTTGCCCGGCCTTGGATCTCTGTATCTGCTCCCATCAGTCACTGGATGAAGGCTCTATGATGACAGTTATGGTATTCACTAGTCTGGTCACTAGAGTAGACCAGCCCAGGCACCTTCTCTACCAATGCCAGTATTCCAAGGTGGGGTCATCCTTGTGGATTCCTGAGAACTTCCTAGGCACCCTGCCTCTTCCTATTCTCATGATGTCTTCATTTATCATGGTATCTCTTTCCTTGCTCTCCCACTCTGCCCCTGTTCCAGCTTGAACCTCCCATTTCCTTATATTCTCATTCCCCATGCTTTGCCCTCCATTACCCCACCCCTACCCCCAATTTGCTCATGTAGATCTCATCTACTTTTCCTTTGCTGGGCTATCTATGTGTCCCTCCTAGGGTCTTCCTTGTTAGCTAGCTTCTCTGGAGCTGTGGGTTGTAGTCTGGTTTTCCTTTGCCTTACATCTAGTATCCACTTATGAGTGAGTACATACCATGTTTGTCCTTCTGGGTCTGTGTTACCTCACTCAGGATGATATTTTCTAGTTCCATCCATTTGCCTAGAAATTTCATGATGTCATTGTTTTTTATTGTTGAGTAGTACTCCATTGTGTATATGTGCCACATTTTCTTTATCCATTCTTTGGTTATTTTGGGCATCTAGGTTGTTTCCAGGTTCTGGCTATTATGAATAATGCTGCTATGAACATAGTTGAGCATGTGTCCTTGTGATAAGATTGAGCATTCCTTGGGTATATGCCCAAGAATGGTATAGCTTGGTCCACATACCTATGGACATCTGATTTTTGACAAAGAAGCCAAAACTGTACAATGGAAAAAAGAAAGCATCTTCAACAAATGGTGCTGGCATAACTGAATGTCAACATGTAGAAGATTGCAAATAGATCCATATCTGTCACCATTCACAAAATTCAAGTCCAAGTGGATCAAAGACCTCAACATAAATCCAGTTACACTGAACTTGATAGAAGGGAAAGTAGGAAGTAGTCTTGAATGCATTGGCATGGGAGACCACTTCCTAAATATAACACCAGTAGCACAGACACTGAGGGCAACAATTAATAAATGGGAACTCCTGAAACTGAGAAGCTTTTGTAGGGCAAAGGACATGGTCAATAAGACAAAGCAACAGCCGAAGAATGGGAAAAGATCTTCACCAACCCCACATCTGACAGAGGGCTGATATCCAAAATATATAAAGAACTCAAAAAGCTAGACATGAAAATACCGAACAATCCAATTAAAAAAATGGGCTACAGAGCTTAACAGAGAATTCTCAACAGAAGAATCTCAAATGGCTGAAAGACATTTAAGGAATTGCTCAACATCCTTTGCATCAGAAATGCAAATCAAAACAACTCTGAGATACCATCTTACACCTGTCAGAATGGCTAAGGTCAAAAACACTGAAGACAGCTTATGTTGCAGAGGATGTGGAGCAAGAGGAACACTCCTCCACTGTTGGTGGGAATGCAAACTTGTACAGCCACTCTGGAAATCAGTATGGCAGTTTCTCAGAAAATTGGAAATAAGTCTACTTGGTAGAATATTTTGGGGTCACTTATGTAGACTACCATATCATCTGTAAATAGTGAAAGTTTGACTTCTTCCTTTGCAATTTGTATCCCCTTGATCTTCTTTGGTTCTCTTCTTGTTCTAGCTAGAACTTTGAGTACTATATTGAATAGACATGAGGAAAGTGGACAGTGGGATTGCTTTGAGTTTCTCTCCATTTAATTTGATGTTGGCTGTCGACTTGCTCTAAATTGCCTTTATTATGTTTAGGTATGGTCCTTGTATTCCTGATCTCTCCAGGACCTTTTTCATGAAAGGGGTGTTGGATTTTGTCAAAGGCTTTTTCAGCATCTAATAAGATGATCATGTGGTTTTTTTCTTTCAGTTTGTTTATATGATAGATTACATTGACAGATTTTTCATATGATGAACCATCCCTGCATCTCTGGGATGAAACCTACTTGATCATGATGGATGGTTTTTTTGATGTGTTCTTGGATTTGGTTTGCCAGTATTTTATTATTTTTGCATCAATTTTTGTGAGGGAGATTGGTCTGTAATTCTCTTTGTTGCATCTTTGTGTGGTTTGTGTATAAGGATAACTATAGCCTCATAGAAACAGTTGGGGAATGTTCCTTCTGTTCCTATTGTGTGGAACAATTTGAGGAGTATTGGTATTAACACTTCTCTGAAATTCTGGTAGAATTCTGCACCGAAACCATCTGTCCCTGGGCTTTTTTTTTTTTTTTTTTTGGTTTGGGAGTCTTTCAATGACTGCTTCTGTTTCAGTAGCAGTTATAGGTCTATTTAAATTGTTTATCTGATCTTGATTTAATTTGGGTATATGGTACCTATCCAGAAAATAATCCATTTCTTTTAGATTTTCCAATTTTGTGGAGTAAAGGTTTTTGAGGTATGACCTGATGATTCTCTGGATTTCCTCACTGTCAGTTGTTAATGTCTCCCTTTTCATTTCTGATTTTGTCAATTTGGATATTCACTCTCTGCCTTTTGGTTAGTTTGGATAAGGGCTTGTCTATATTGTTGATTTTCTCAAGGAACCAAACTTTGTTTCATTGATTCTTTATATTGTTCTCTTTGTGTCTATTTTATTGATTTCAGCCCTGAATTTGATTATTTCCTGGCATCTACTCCACTTGGATGAGCTTGTTTCTTTTTGTTCTAGAGCTTTCAGGTGTGCTGCTAAGTCGTCAGTGTGAAATTTCTCCAACTTTTTTATGTAGGCATTTAGTGCTATGAATTTCCTCTTAGTACTGCTTTCATAGTATCCCTAAGTTTGGGTATATTGTACATTCATTTTCATTGAATTCCAGGAAGTTTTAATTTCTTTATTTCTTCCTTGTCTCAGTGGTGATTCAGTTGAGCATTGCTCAGTTTCCATGAGTTTGTAGGCTTTTTGTAATTTGTATTGTTGTTGAATTCTAACTTTAAGGCATGGTGGTCTCATAAAATACAGGAGGCTATTCCATTTTTTTTTTTTTAGCTGTTGAGATTTGCTTTGTGACTGAGTATGTGGTCAATAGAGAAGGTTCCATGGGGTGCTGAGAAGAAGATATATTCTGTTGTGTTTGGGTGGAATGTTTTGTAGATGTCTATTAAGTCCATTTGAGTCATAATGTCTATCAGTTCCCTTATTTCTCTGTTACGTTTCTCTTTGGCAGACCTGTCCATTGGTGAGAGTGGGGAGTTAAGTCTCCCACTATTAGTGTGTGGGGTTTGATGCATGATTTAAGCTTTAGTAATGTTTCTTTTACAAATGTGGGTGCCCTTGTATTTGGAACGTAAATGTTCAGAATAAATGTTCAGACTTCATCTTGATGGATTTTTCCTGTGATGAATATGTAATGTCCTTCTTGATATCTTTTGATTAATTTTTGTTTGAAGTCTATTTTGTTAGATATTAGTATAGCTACACCAGCTTGCATCTTAAGTCCATTTGACTGGAAAGACTTCCCAGCTCTTTACTCTGAGGTAATGTTTGTCTTTGAAGTTGAGGTGTGTTTCTTGTATTCAGTAGAAAGACAGATTCTGTTTTCTTATCTATCCTGTTAGCCTGTGTCTTTTTAGTGCATTGATATTAAGGGATATTAATGACCAGCGATTGTTAATTCCTGTTATTTTTTGGTGGCAGTGTTGTGTGTTTCTCTTCTTTGGGATTTGTTAGTATTGGATTATCTATTGCCTGTGTTTTCATGGGTGCATCTTACTTCCTTGGGTTGGATTTTTTCCTTCTAGTGCTTTCTGTGGGGCTGGATTTGTGGATAGGTATTGTTTAAATCTGGTTTTATCATGGAATATTTTTTTCTACTCTGTCTATAGTGATTGGGAATTTTGCTGTGTATAATAGTCTGGGCTGGCATCCATGGTCTCTTAGTGTCTGAATCATGTCTGTTCAGGACCTTTTGGCTTTCAGAGTCTCCACTGAAGTCAGGTGTTATTCTGCCTTTAAATGTTACTTGGCCTTTTCCCTTTGCTGCTCTTAGTATTTTTCTTTATTCTGTATGTTTAGTGGTTTGATTATTATGTGGCAAGGGGGCCTTCATTTTTTTTTTTGTCCAGTCTATTTGCTGTTCTGTAACCTTCTTGTATCTTCATAGGGATTTCCTTCTTTAGGTTGGGAAAGATTTTTTTTTTTGAGACAGGGTTTCTCTGTGTTTGTGCCTTTCCTGGAACTCACTTGGTAGTCCAGGCTGGCCTCGAACTCACAGAGATCCACCTGGCTCTGCCTCCCAAGTGCTGGGCTTAAAGGCGTGTGCCACCACCACCCAGCTGGGAAAGTTTTCTTATATGATTTTGTTGAATATATTTTCTGTGCCTTTGAGTTGATATTCTTCTCCTTCTTCTATCCCTATTATTCTTAGGTTTGACTTTTTTTATGGTGTCCCAAATTTCCTGGATGTTTTGTGTTATGACTTTTTTGGCTTTAGTGTTTTCTTTGACTGATGAATCTATTTCCTCTATTGTATCCTCTACACCAGAGATTCTTTCTTCAATCTCTTGTATTCTGTTAGTTATGCTTGCATCCGTAGTTCCTGTTCATTTGCTCAGATTTTCTATTTCCAGCATTCCCTCAGTTTGTGTCTTTTTCATTGTTTCTATTTCAATTTTTAGGTCTTGAACTGTTTCCTTCACCTGTTTAATTGCTTTTTCTTGGTTTTCTTGGCTTTTTTAAAACAAAGATTTATTGATTTTTTCAATTTTTTGTTTGTCTTTTCCTCAATTTCTTTAAGGGAATTTTTCATTTCCCCTTTAAAGGTCTTTATCAGCTTCTTAAAGTCATTTTAAAGGTTGTTTTCCTTTGCTTCTTCTATGTTGGGATGTTCAGGTCTTGCAGATGTAGAACAACTAGCTTCTGGTGGTGCCATATTGCTCTTTATGTTGTTGAATGTATTCTTGCACTGGCAAGTACCCATCTCTCCCTCCAATTGGTGCAAATGGTATCTGTGCCTCAGGGAGTCACTTTTGGTCCAATCAGAACTCTGTGTTCAATGCTGGAAGGCTCTGTGTTTGCAGGGAGCACCTGCAGCCTCTTGGTCCAATTGGAGCTGGCAGAGTCTACTTCTCAGGGAGCAATTTTGGTCTTGGAGGATGGGTGGGTTTGGGGGGTGGATTGGGGATTATAGGTTACAGGGTCCAGTGTGGAGGGGTGGTCAGGCCTGCCTGCGGGAGTCCTTCCTGCTGGCCTGCAACTGGGGATGCAATGGGTGGGGTATAGGGGCACTGGTTTTGCCTCTTCATAGGTTCAATTTAAAATTACATTTTGAAGGCCGGGCGGTGGTGGCGCACGCCTTTAATCCCAGCACTCGGGAGGCAGAGCCAGGTGGATCTCTGTGAGTTCGTGGCCAGCCTGGTCTCCAAAGCGAGTTCCAGGAAAGGCGCAAAGCTACACAGAGAAACCCTGTCTCGAAAAACCAAAAAAAGAAAAAAAATTACATTTTGAGATTGTGATTTTATCATTTCTCCCTTCCCTTTCCATCCTTCCAACCTTACCATTTTTTTTAAAATCTTCTACATCTTCTTGCTTTACTGCAACTAGTGAAACATTGAAAACAATAGATACAGTAAGACAGTTTATCACAGACTTTGCCCCAAACTCAAGGGAAACAATTTCAGTGTATCATAGGTAGGCATCATAGTTACTCTCGGCTTTTGTAGACAACTTTTTATCAGAGAAAAAAGTATTTCTATTCTCTGCTTGCTAAGAATGTTATAAAAAGACACTGTAGACTTGATCAACATAGATTCTTTCATGAATCTTTATTTTCTTGGTGTTACTCCTTTAATAAGTTAATGTGTTGCATAATGTTCAGTTTCTCTATTGGGACATGACTGACTGTTTAAACATATCATTTGGCTACTAGAAAATAAACTGCTCTGGTTAAATTAAGGACATGTTGTTCCATGATCTGGTTTGTAAAAGTGATCTTCACTGACATTGAGGCATATTAGAAAGACTGGGGCAATTCTGGAGACATCTGAAGGAAAATGAGTCACTTATCACAGAGTGGTTGAAGCCTCTCAGAGATAGCTGAGAACCAAAAATTTCAACACAATGAATAGTGTCTGATTTGGAGCTTTCTCTGCTCTCAGATGCAAACCTTCAGTTTTCTAGAAATCTAACCAGAATGTCCTTGTACAATGTCAGTGGCTCCTGGTTTTATTATATCACATTCTAAGCCCACCCAGGGTATCTTTCGAGACACCTCATACTCTCACTTGTCAGAGCTAAGGCAGAAAAAAAACCACAAGAAAACAAAAAACCAAGAGGCTTCTTAACACCTCTTTGAGATGTAGCTCAAGGGCAATGAAAATGGCATAAATGCTAATGCTAAGACAATTGTGATTTCCCATGAGAAGCCCCTACGAAACTTGAGTATGTTTTATTCTTTCCCTGAGTGCTTTTGTAATTTAGTAAACCACCAACTGTAGTTCTGAAATTCTTTTCTCCATCAAAGCCACTAATCCCAGGACTGTCTAAATGTAGAGCCCAGAAGGCAAAGGAAACTCCTCACATAGCAGGAAGTGACAGTGTGTGTGGAGCAGGGTGTCTTGTCTTCTTATTCCTGACAATGCCTGAGATATTGATTAGTTTCCTCATCATAGTGATTACCCTTGGTAACTCTGAAACCCTAGCCTCTTGATTTCATTTGATGACTTCCAAGTGTTTCCATCTCTTGATGTTCTTTAGGATCCTTGGAGATCACTTTTAGCAGTACCAAGTATGTACTAATGACTCCTCAGTTGACTCAGACAAATTCCTTTTCTGAAAGGTAGTAACAGGTACCTAAGTGCGTATTCTAGATTTCCATGTAGATGGCTTACTGAGATGTGAATGCTTACACCAGACCTCACCATCCTGTACCTTTTCTTCTTTCTCTTACTACTTTTTTTTTCTCTCTCAAAGATGCTCCTTATTTCATGATTTGTTGGGATAGGAAAACGCCATGGCTTCAGGAACACAAGAAGAAGCCCGAGCACCATGGCTGGTTCTGCCACTAATCCTGCATCTGTTATTAAGTTTCATTGATTCTTCCTTCAGAAGCTGTCGCCACTATGAGTTCTGTCTCTAGATGTGAATCTGGCCCAAACTATTATTCTCCTTTTAAAAAGTGGAACTACTTCTTTATTTTCATTTAGCCTTGCTCTAATACATTTCCCCTCCACCCTGTGTTTGTATCCCTTCTTTCCTTTTAAAAATCTCACCTAAAACAATGTCCTAGCTGTCATTTAAGGATAAACCTATACTGTCATACCTCAGGCCAAAACAAACACAATATGTAAAATGGTAAAGAGCAAAACCTGGGAGTTTACTTGTGAACACCACTTAGAGATATCTGAGAAACATTTGAAGGAAACTACAGCGAATTATCAGTTACAAGGCTTTACTCTTAGAAAAGTAGTTTCATTTGGATATCTCCAAGATCAAAATGCCTTGTCTCTCTTATTTCCTCTAGAAGGATGCTTGCAGTTTGTAATGACTTTTTCTGTGTTTATACATTTTAAATTACATTTTTATACAGTACATTCTCTCATTCTTTCTGTTGTCACTACTCTATGTGTTTCTTAATGCTTTCTTTTTTAAAAGTTGCTTTTCTAAAATGTCAAACACATAGCAAATAGCAACACAAGTTTATGGAATCCATAACCAAATTATTTAGAACTCTTTTAGTGCCTTCTTTGAATAATATCAAAGATATCTAGCTCCAGAGAGTGTATTTCAGATGAGGAGAGCATTACACAAATAAGTGGGAAAAAATCTGATTCAAATTTGTATTTTAATATATTTGACTTTAACCTTTCAAACATTACTTCAGGGGGAAATTTAAGGCCACACCAGCGATTATGTGGGCATAGAAACTGTTTGGATTAGAATTTAATAATTCTTTTAAAAAACTTTAGAATAAAAATATGAGACTGTATTCATAAACAGATCTTTATGGATTGAGTGGGATTAAAGTCAAATAAGATGAAATACCCAGAATTTAGAATTTTCTCAAGTATGTGTGAAGTGCTATCCAATGGAAGGAAGTTCTGATCAAAGCTGAAATTATAATAAAAAGAAAGAAGATGAATATGTAAAAGGATGATGTTCTGTGGAAGTTTCATTGAGAACTGATCACCAAGGCAAAGTGGTAGAAGGGTGGATCCCTTTTTTCTGTAAGACCTCTTACCAGATTGGATCAATGTATATGATATTGGTAACAGCAGGATTTACCACTGGAATGCTGGGGAATATGTTTATTGGACTGGTGAACTGCTTTGACTGGGTCAAGAACCAGAAAATCACGTTCATCAACTTCATCATGATGTTTGGCAGCTTCCAGAATCAGCTGTCTGACTGTAGTATTTATTGATGCAACCTTACTAGAACTAGCCCCTCATTTCTATGATTCTTATGTTCAAGTAAAATGCTCCGATATATTCTGGGTTGTGACTGATCAACTGTCTACATGGTTTGCCACCTACCTCAGCATTTTCTACTTCCTCAAAATTGCCCACTTCTCCCATCCCCCTTTCCTCTGGTTGAAGTGGAGAATGAGAAGAGCGGTTCGGTTGTTGTTTTTCTTGTATTTTCTATGTGCTTACTGATTTTTTATTTTCTACTGCTTGAAACACTTCCTATTTTGAGGTATAAGAACATGATCTCTAAAAGCAATCTGACTTTATTTTCAGATACAAGTAAGACTATTGTTGTTCAAAAGTTAATTGTTTTTGACCTGATGTACTTGGTCCCATTTCTTGTGTCCCTAGTATCATTGTTCCTTTTATTTTTGTCCTTGGTGAACCACGCCAGAAACCTCAACCTCATTTCTACCAGCTCTGAAGATTCCCACAAGCTGGCCATGAAAATGCTGTTGTCTTTCCTCATTCTCTTTATAATTCACAGTTTTTTCATGCAGGTGGCACGTTGGTTATTTTTTTATTTTCCATCAAACAGGTCAATTAAGTTTGTTCTGTTAACATTAATTATCTTTCCTTTAAGTCACTCATTTATTCTGATCCTGGGAAATAGTAAGCTTCAGCAGACAGCAATGAGGGCCCTTCAACATTTTAAAAGCCAACTGCAAGAGATGATCCTCTCCCTTCACAGATTCTCCCAAGTCTTTACTAAGTGAATAACTTAATGAGGAGCCTTGGAAGGTCACTGTTCTTCTGCTGGGGTCTTTTAAGTACTGCTAAACATATATGAATAGTTCCTTGAACATACTGCATTTTGTGACAATTTGCACACAGTCAGGCTATAAAACACAAACCTATCTTTTTTGTTGTCTGTTTACAGCATTGGTAATAAAAACTAATAGTCTCAAACATTTTAAAGGAAATCAAATAGTTAATTTTACAGGCAAAAGGTATGTAATTATAATTCACAGGGAAGGTTCATAATATCCAGGTAACTTGTAAACCCGAACAGGCAGAAGATGGGCAAAATGTTGATAAGAGATTAAGAAAACCTAAAGAGAAAAAACATCATCTCACAGCTTAAATTATTTTAAAAAGCTTTCCTTTTGTTTTTCAGATTTATTTATGTGTATGAGTATTTTGTCTGCATGCATGTCTGTGTCTGGTGTCCACATAGGTCAGAAGATGGTATCTGAATTCCCTGGAACTAGAGTTACAGGTCATTGTGAGTGACTATATGGGTCCCGGGAACTAAACCTAGGTCCTCTGCCAGAGAAGTGCTCTTAATTGCTGAGCCATCTTTCCAGCTCCCACAGCTTAAATTCTTAAGTGTTATTTTCCTTTTGATATAGGAACTTAATGGCCTGGAACTTGCTATGTAGACCAGGCTGGCTTTGATCTCATAGAGATCCACCTGCCTTACACATTCTAGAATTGAAGTCTTGCACCACCATGTCTCACTTCTCATTTTTCTTAAACGAAAAGACAAGTATATCTTTGTTATTAAATCATTTGTTGATACTTAAGGAATAAGATGCTCCTACGAAAATAGGGATGACCTTATGTTTACAGTGGGAAACATTAATCTTAATGTGAATTCCCAAGTTATAAATATTTTTGCTGTTTCTACAAACTTGCTAATTTTTCTAAATTCTAGAGCAGCATATACACTGGCAGTATGTTCACAGTGGCAGAAGTCAGTATGTCTATCATGTTATGGTCTTGTTATGGTCTATCTAAAAATAAATTAACCTTTACTTCAGAATCACATTTATGTTGCTACTACAAGGTAACATGTCCTGAGAATGAAATGTATTTGTGTACACACTTCATTGCAATCTGATTACCAGAGTTCTTAGCACAAGACACCGATATTATATGAAGAGAGAAGATGAAGAAGGCAAAGTTTATAATAAATGGCAAGTTTAAAGGGTACTGCGGATGTGTAGATGTATTTATAATGCTGCAATTTAAGTGTAGAAACAATAGCTGTAAACTCCAAACAAGACAGTGGGGGAAATTTCCTGTAACATTTTCACTGTGACAGTAGGAATTATAACATTATACAGATAAGACATTACACACAGTATACTTTTGTTTAGTCTATATAGTCTTAAGGTAAAACAACAAGCTGCAATGAAATGATGATACACACGTCAGTTTGGCTTGGTGGAGTTATCAAAAAGGTAATGGTAGAACTATTCACATTTTCCACCCAACTACATCTGAGCTGTGTAGTTCTTCTATATATAGGTGATAAGAATGATGATGATTGCTTTAATAATATATAGGTGATAAGAATGATGACGATTGCTTTAATAATAATATAGCACATATTTATTGGTAATCTGTACTTTATAAAACATGTTATTTCATGAATTATATTTTAATTATCTTGCCTTGGAAAACGTAATGTGCAAATTCAGTTGAGTGCAGGTTAGCCTTAGATGTTGACCTCATTTTTATTTTGAAGAATTTATTTTTATTTTATTTAGTATTTAGTGTTACTGAAATTTGGTAATTAAGAGAAGCTAATTAAGTACACTTGTGAGCAACTTTTGATTCTAATGAAATGGTTTTTGGGGTAAGTGAGCTAACGTATAGCTAGCAGTCACCTACACTTAAGCAAACTTTAGGAGAGAGGAGAATAAAGAACAGGTCTTGTTCCTGACAATAGAAGAATGGCAAAATACTAGTAAATGAATCCCAGGTCATAGGCTATGTCATTGCAATGAATGGTTTGTTATCCACATGTTTGAATGGCAAGTGAGCTCTAGCCCTGTGCCTCCTCTATCTCCATCTGTCACCTTCCTGACAGCCTCAGCAGCATCAGACCCTCTGTCAATATATGTAACCCCAGGCCAATGCATGCAACCTGGAATGATTGACCAAAATGTTGGGGAATAGAGGGAAATCATTACTTATTTTTTACTACTAACCTCTTACCTGACAAATAAATGTTCATTTTGAGATTTTTTTTGTGATGATTTCTTCTTTCCATCCACAGAGTTAGGCAGTTGACAGGAGAAGAATACCTTGAGTATGCTGATGGAATTGGGTATACTCTGATACCAAGTTCTAAAGGTATCAGGGACACAAAGGCATGTTTTCTTGAGCATTTCTGGATACATATACCAGATAAAAACCTGTATCTGTACTGACGTCTAAGAATGGTTTACAGATTTGTTTCAAGTAAGTCATGAGCTACTTTTTAGGTGACTTTTCCTTGCAAAACCTCACTAGACCCTTTTAACGGTTGTTGACATTATGACAAAGGCCTTCCAAATTCTCCCATTTTTAGACAACAGGTAATATGTTGTCCATGTATTTCTTAAGAATAATATTCACAAGAAAAATTATCTGAAATTTTGTTAAATGCATTTGAGAAACACACAAGCAATCCTTTTTGACTCCTTATACACCAAATCTCATTTTACAGTTTTTCTCTCTCTCTCTGTGAGTGTGTGTGTATTATGACAAAACTAATGTATTATCTGAGACTAAGAAGATGCCTAGTTGTTCTCATTCTAACCCTAAACTCCCTGCCATTGGGGAGCGGGCACTGTTGGCCACTGAGAACATTGGGAGTCTTAAAGATGTGTGCTGAGGTGTTGAGGGAGACAGAAAGGGGCAACCATGAAGTTCATCAAACCACTTTACTGGAATATCACACACGGGGAGAGAGAGAGAGAGAGAGAGAGAGAGAGAGAGAGAGAGAGAGAGAGAGAGAGAGAGAGAGAGAGAGAGAGAGAGACCGAGCGCTAGGAGTGATTTAAAAGGCTGTGTAATTCAAATGGAATATTGAGATGTGTGAGAAAAGGTGATAAGATCATTCACAGATGAAGTAGTTCTTTGTTACATTTTTTTTAACTTCCCATTATGTTTTGTATTAATTAGGTCAGAGTGGATTTCCACAAGTGCTTTATCACTATTCCTTGGTGAGAATGCTATTTGTTTTTTAGCTCAGTACATCATGAAGTCAATGATCATCTGTTTTCTGATTTTTAATTTGCCTGCATGTGTGTATGTGCAACATGTGTATTCCTGGTCCTCTGGAGGCTAGAAGAGGGTTATCAGATCCACCGCAACTGGGGTTACAGATTGTTGTAAACCACTATGTGATACTGAGATCAGAACCTGAGTCCTCTATAAGAGTAGCAAGTGCTCTTAACAGCTGAGCCATCTCTCCAGCCAAGTTTTCTGATTTTAACTATAGCTATCATTAGATGCTTAGACTAATTATTTTGACTGCAACTATAGGATAAAGATTAATCAAGTTACCTTTACAAACATTTTATAATAATACACATTATACTTAGATATATAGTAACAATTTCTCCATCATACATAGCTCAACCATTTGATATTTTAAAGTATAAAAGGTAGTTCATCACAGGATTATAAATAATATCTGTAGTTATATAGACTTTTAAAAAAATGTAAATATTCACTTGGATTTTTATTTACTCAGCATATGATAGACATGATTTTATAATTCTCAATGTTTTCTTCATAGAGTTCATCTTTAATGTAATTATGAACATAAATGTTTTTCAGTTTTTCACCGGACTTGTTTTCTTATTTTTTAGAAAAAATTAAATCTCATGTTTTGGTCACTTTTAAACCATGCCTTCAAATGATGACTCTTTTTCTGGTGGCCTTCAGAGTATTTCTAAAGCATCAGTAACTTCTAGGTCTCTTAATTTCCATACCATGAAATCTAGGCTTGTCTTGCCCTTTCCAAATCCTGGAACTAGAATAATTCTATGCATGTAGGCCTGACAGGTTCTGTGAGGCATTCATCAATAAACTCTCAGAATTTTGGCAGTGTACTCCACATTAATGAAATAAAAATGTCTTGAGGAAGTTCACAGGAAATGCATATTGAGATGGGTTCTTATCATGTGGCTCAGGGTAGCCCAATATTCACTAAATAATTTCAGCTGGGCTCAAACTCATAATCTTGACTCAGCCTCTTGAGTATTAGAATTACAGGTATATAATGCCATGCCTAATATTTTTTTCTAAAGCTCTCAACTTAATTACAGTGTAGAGTCAAGACAGAAGCTGATTATATTAGAATTATAAAATAATACAATCTATTTTTATAATTAGCTTTTATGATAACAAGATCAAAATGAATAAAAAGAATATCACTGTTATTCTCCACCTCAACTTGACAGATAAGTTTAAAAAAATCATCATGGACGAGAAGGAAAGAATATAAAAGGTAGGATGAGGAAGAATACAAACTTTTAGGTATCACATGGTATAGCAGGAATCTTGGAAGGTCTTATTAATAAAAATCAAACCTGAGGCCAGTTATTGGGGTGAACACTGGAAGATCAGAGAGACAGAACAAGCCACAGCTAACTTCACCTGGCCAACTTATCAGCTGATCTTGTTTCCTCAGACTGGAAGCCTCTGTGTCCTTATATCCGAATGGCTCTCAGCTGAACTGTACTTCTTAAAACCTAAAGGTTAACTAGCCAAATGCTTCTAGTTTCTGGTTCTCACACCTTATATACCTTTCTGCTTTCTACCACGACTCCCTGGGATTAAAAGCTCACTTTCTGGGATTAAAGGCATGTGTCACCATGCCTGGCTGTTTCCAATGTGGCCTTGAACTCAGAGAGGGATTTCTACCTCTGGGATGCTAGGATTAAAGGTGTGAGTGCCACCATTTTCTAGCCTTTGTATTTAGTGGCTGTTCTGTCTCTGACCCCAGATAAGTTTATTAGGGTGTACAATATTTTGGGGAACACAATACCACCACAACATGGCTATTGCACATATGAGCTACGATTAATTACATTAGACTAGCACAAGATCGAGCCAGTTCAAAGATTCCATCATGGAATAAAGAGGGAATCCTAAGGCCCACTCCCCAGCTCAGGAGCTATAGGCAGATAGCTATGGTCACTTTTCTTATGAATGTGGATGAATGACCCAACATCCATGAATATATAGGTAACATGAATTGGACTCAGTGGATTTAAAAAAAATAAATAAAAGGAGGATATCAAGTAGGAAGATCTAGGAGGCAGCTAAAGGTTCAACACTGAGTACAACTCTTCAGGCACTGTCCACCTTATTGTTAAAGACAGTGACTTTCCATGTTCTGGAACTTGCCAAGTAGGCTAGGCTGGCTGGCTAGAGAGCCCCAAGGATCCATTTCCGCCTCTCCTTGGCACTGTAACTGCAAGCATACTACCAAGCCTGGCTTACTTGTGAAGCTTCTGGGGATCAAACTTAGGTCTTCAAGCTTTTACAGAAAGTACTTTACTGACTAAACTATGTCTCCAGCTCTTTCTCTCTGGGGTCACTCTTATCTGTCCTATTACAGTTGGATTTTTCTGATACTTTAAAACATCAGGTACATTTCTTTATCAATTAAACACTGACTACTTTCCCTTCAAGCACTCATTTGGATTAAAATTTTAGCAACAGAAATCTTTGGCATACAGCCTTGGGACTCCTGTGACATTTAAAATGTCACTTGGCAAGAGTAAAGCCTGTTGGCACATGTCAGGGGATCATGAGTTCTCAGCTAGCCTGGGCTACACAGCAAATTCCTGAGCAATCCTGTTAAACAAAACAAAATAAAATCAAAGAAAAAGTAAAAAAAGAAAAAAAACAAAATACAATAACAAAAGTGAAGCCTTTAGGTTCACAGGCTTTTCTAGAATTAGAGTAATGAAGAGATACTGAATTTTCTTCTAAAATTTTGTTTATCACTGGATTCTTCTGCTTTTGTTTTTTTTGGGGCAGATTTTTCATCATGTGGCCCAGGCTGTCCTTGAACACATGATGTCTCAACTCAACCTCTTGAGTACTGGGATAACAGATGTGGTCCATTATGACCGGCTCTCACTGGATCCTTTCAGTTATCTTTGAGCACCATGAGATTTTCCTAGAAAAGCCTGGAAACTAGCAATCTGCTGACGAAGGCAGCAGAGGGGTTTTAAAATAGCACGCACTATCTTCACATGTGCTCACAGTGAGGAAATAACTCAGACAGTTACACTTCCACGTCGAGCCTGTAACAGTATATATTCATCTTACATGAGTTTTGAAAGAATACAATTACATTTATATGTAAGAAAAAAAATCACAAGTAGAAATGAAAATTATTTCCAAGCTTGAGTAGACAGAATACTTCTATATTAATATTATCAAGCACTAACAGTGTCCTGTATGATTTAGAATTTCAATCCCATGAGCTTTCTGTGTCATTTAACCTGTGGGAGATATTACCTGGGGAAATTTTTAAAGTGAAATATTTTAAATTAGATTTTAATTGAAGAAAATCATATACATGGTTAAAAATGAATCACACAATAGTGTTAGATTAACAACAAAAAAGAACGAACTCTTGCTTTTCCTCTACCTATTTTCATTTCTTTTCTTCAGAAATAACTCTTTTAACTCTTACGTGTTTCTGCATTGGTTTTCCTAATTGTAGTTTATGCTGCTTTTTATATATTAGATCTTTTTTGTAGTGTTGGGGATCAAATACAGAGCCTTGTGCATGCTAGGCAATACTCTCCAACTGAACCAAATCTCCAGCCCTCTGTAATAGTTCTTGATGGACTTTCCATCATTATATTACATCCTTTTCCTCTTCAAGCCCCCCCAGTGTTACATAATCATTTCTTGTTAAGCAAGTACTTATATTACAGGTACAGTATCAGTCACATGAGGTAGGGCAGCATAATTTATGACTGTATTTTATTTCTCATGGGGTTTATAATGACTTCAGTTTTAATTTTAAAATAAAATGTAAGTACTAACTCACCCCAGACTTGGAAAAATCTCTAGCACACATTCAGGTATTTGCTTTTTTTTTGGACATTCAGAACACTCCATCTTTGGGCATTTCCTGCTTACTTCATGTGGTTACCCCCCTCTATTTAGCAGTTAGAAACTTTCGGGTTGTCCATAATCCACGAAACGTCCCAGTCACTCTCCATAGTACCGTCCCACTCCACAAGGACTCCGCCATTCCATTTATTTTTCCACTTGTCAACTGTATTTTCACAACAAGGTTTGTAACATCTGCATTTCACTCTGTAACCAAAATTAAGTATTCCCTTTAAAGGAAAAAGCCATATGTGGTCCACTTGCATTACTATGAGAGAACAGTCCTTTTTTTCTGCCATGACTGAACTTCCTTTTCTTTGGCTCCAATTGTCTCTCTGACAGGGATATCCTCCCACTCTGCCACCATTTGTTCAAAATCCTGCCGTTGTATTTGCACTGGGAACATGGCTTTGACCCCCAGCTTCAATGTATCCTCTTGTGGGAGGAAGAGAGAACATACTTTTCAGATCACATTCATGTAACAGGCCTCTGACTCCATGACTAGCTCACAGTCCAGTATTCCCAAAGATCAATTCAGATCGTAAGTTTGTTGTAAATCTGGGTTCTTGAGAAACTTAGTTTTCCTTTCTCAGACCGCGGCCTGTGCCCGTCGTCAGATCCTAAGATTCCCCAGGGGTTTACGGATGTGCGCTCCTTAGGTACTTCCTTGGGTCTCAGTGTCTCCGCTTCTGGAACATCTCGGCTCTTAACAGACTCAGCAGGCCTTCCCCACCTCCACATCCCGGGAAGGGGAGGCCCGGGGCGGATCGCGCGTGAGCGCGCTCTCGCGAGTCTGCCCGCTCTTCTCGCGCACCTCGGCGGTGCCGCGGGGCGGCCTGGGAGGCGGCCATCTTGCGGGTCCCCGGAGGCCCGGCCACGCAGGCGCGGCTCTAAATGTGTACCTGCAGGCGGATGTTGAGGATCACCGAGCCCGCGATGTAGAAGTACGGGAAGTTCATGCGCAGCTGCCAGGCCAGCTCGAAGAAGGCGAGCAGGGTCCGGGAGAGCCCCTTGCAGAAGACACCGTACGGGGTGGCGGCCGCGGGGCCCACAGCCCTGAGCGCCAGGGCGGACGGGACGTCGGCGGGGACCATGGCGTTGTCCCACCCGGCCGAGGGTCTCCGCAGCTCCGCGCACTCCCGAGCAAGGTCGGGCCGTGCCGGGACGACGTGCCCACCGGCTCCCTCCTGCCCTGCCAGCGGCCTCCCGGCTGCCGCTGCCGCTCCCTCCCTGGCGGCGCGGGGCTGCGTGGGCTCCGCCCCTTCCTGTCAGCTTCCTGAGGAAGGTCTGCTGCCGGGAGTTATGTAATTTTTCAGGACAGCGGCGCAGAGATCTGCTGTCACTTTAAAGGAAAGAGCTCAGTGAGCCGATGTAATTTAGCCAACAGGACACATTTTGCAAGGATCAAAGGTGGATTAAAATGTGTTCGTCTGCTCCGTGATCCTGTAACATTCACTCTGATACTAAGACAAGATGATCACCTTACAAACGCTTATACAGGCAGAGTCTGCATTTGTAACACACTATAACTGTGAAAAGTCACCTTATTAGGTTATGGATTTACCTGTGTATTAGGACTATTTAGATTGCAAGTGACAAACAAAAATACATACCTCCTTTTTTTCAGTGTGTGTGTGTGTGTATTGTATGGGTGTATCCCCACTTAATGTAAACCCATAAAAAGTTCAGATTAGGTAGTGCAAAAACCTAAGGTAGTCTCTAAGGGTGAGAGTACTACTATTATCTATTTTCATATCCTTGGTTCCCTTATAGAAATAGGAGTCTCCATTAATCACAATGCTTTTTTGGCATTTATGTGATGCACTTTCATTCCCCCCCCCCCCCCAGTAATCTCCCCTGTTTAGCTACACGCATGTATAATGCATGTATGTTAGTTGCTGATCATGACTTTCAGAATACAGTGTAGTTTTACATACCACTGTTAAAATGCTCCATATCTAACCCTTAACTGCATATATGTGTTACATATTCAAAGCATCCTTGTGAATTAAAAGTGCCGGGTCAAAAAGACACACCGATCCCCCAAACTTCAAAGGGAAGTCCAAATGTCCAAAAGTGAACTCAACCTGGACTGTAGGAGGATTTCTGGCTGTTTGATAAAAGCCAGAATTCCTCCAGAAACTTGTGAAGTGGGTTCCTTTCTGCCAAAAGGTGTTATTGCCCTTACTTCTGGCCAATAGGACATATGGCTCTCTTGTTAACACATACTCGTGGGCCCTATCAGCGTATCAGGGTCCTTAGCCTCCAGAATCCCCAGTCCCTACTCACAGTAATTACTATACATTTCAAAGCCCACACGCCCATCTCCTGGCTCTTCCCTCCCTCCATCTACTTACTCTCTGTAGCTATTGCTGTTCTCACTATACCTTATAACCAATACTTCTTAAATTGTTAAGAAAAAGAGAAAAACACAGTAACACTTTCAAACTTTTTCTACAAAGCCAGTATTCTAATACAAAACCAGATAAAGATACATCAAAAAAAGAAAATTATCCACGATGAATATAGATGCTACTTACAACCAGGTTTGATATATCAAAAAGGCCATCTACCAAAACCAAGTTGGGTATATTCTGGAGATGCATGGATAGTTCAATATATATATATATATATATATATATATATATATATATATATATGTCAATAATGTAATAAATCATATCAATGGACATAAAGACAACCATAAAATCCTCCCAATAGATACAGAAAAGGTCCTTGACAAAATCCAACATATTTTCATGATAACAGTCCTGGAGAGAACAGGCCTGGAGAGAATTGCAAAGGAAGGAAGCACCTGTGCATATAGCAATGTGGATAAATTCCATCAACAAAATGCTGGTCAAGATGCTAAAGTGAGAAGAACATAAACATTATTATTATACAAGCCAGGCACAGTAGTACACACCTGTAACCACAGCTCTTGGGAGGCAGAGGCAGGAGGATTGCCTCAAGTTTGGGTTAGAAATATTTGCCTATTAGAAAGTTGTTATAAAGTTATATAAGGATATTTTCTCATTTGTCTAGAATTATTATTACTCTTTTGTATTTTGGTTTGTGACCAACTCAAATTAACATTTTGTTTGGTTTGGAATTTGAGTTGAAGTTCATTTTTCATTATTGTGATTTAGTTTTTCCAGTGTGATTTATTGAATACAATTTTGTTTTCAGTTTAATATGTTTGGTGTTTTCCTTGAAATTGTGTGGAGTGCATAAGTGAGTGTGTCACTAGACACTTTATTCTATTTCTTGATTCATTTGTATAAGCAAGTTTAACTACTGTGTTTCTACAGTGTTGAAACCACAGGAAAAGTTTAAATCTTGATGCTGTGAATTGCAGATTATTTAAAAAAATTAATTATTTTAAAACTGAATGGACCCAAACCAGTAACTTTATCAAAGCTCTAAACATGAGGAATATTTGTGACAAACATTGATAAATGACTGAAAAGCCCGAAGGGCATGAAAGGTGCTTTGAATTTTGATTATCTATAAGAGACACACATTTGAGGTGATAGAACAATAATTTTCCTATGAGACATGTGTGCACCTGTGTATAACTAATACTTCTTCAACAGCTAGTTACTATGTGTAACTTTGTTTAAATGTGTGTACTCATGTACACATAGAAACTAGCTCTTGAAGGAGTATTAGTTTTTCTGGGTGCCCAAAAAAACTGAATAATCTACATATTGAAGCTAGAATTTTATTAACAGAAAACTAAAATTGTTTAACACAAATAATGGGGAAATTAAACAAAAGTGATTACAACTGTTGAAACAGAGTATGTATCTACTTTCATGATAGCAAACAAGAATGCAGCTTCAATCCAAAGTCAACTGTGATGTCCATTGGTTTATAGGAGGAACATAGACTATATGAACAAGAGTTCATTTGAGCAGTTATGGGGATGTACTGTTTGTAGAAAGACAAGATTGAGTTCACCTACTAACACACTGTGGTGCTGTTTGCTTGACATTGGTCATGGAATTATAAAGAATAACTTTACATCAACAATCCAGGGGCACATATAAAGTAGATATATTATAGGAGAGGCAGGGAAGATGACTTAGCTGATAAGAGCATCTACACAACCATGGGGATCTAAGTTCAAGTCCACAGAACTGATAAAAAGCAAGTATGATCATGTGTGTCTGTAATACCAGTGGTGGGTGCATGGGAAGTGGAGAAGAGAGAATTACTGAAGCTTGCTGGTCACCAGTTCTGCTCAGTGAGAGATCCTAGCTCAAGGAAATAGAACAGAGTGATAGATAAAGACACCCGATATCCTCCTCTGGTCTTTGCTTTGTGGGGCATGTACATGATCACACACAAGTATGTATAGACCACACACATACATCCACCATACACAAATTTTGCTGGTTTTGATTTTATTTTTATGGTTGTGAACATAGAAAAGACTGCTCTGGTGAGTATGAGAGCAATATGACTTAAAAGACAAAATGAAGGGCATAACAGCTTTTCACATGTGACTATTGTGGGGTCCACAGAAGTTCTCTAGTGAGGCCTTGTGGCTAGAGTTTTCCCCAGTCCTGCTTGGCCCAAGGTCAGGACAAATCTCTCTCACCCACCAGGCTCGCAGCTGCTCAAACCCAACCAAGTAAACACACAGAGACTTATATTTCTTATAAACTGTATGGCCATGGCAGGCTTCTTGCTAACTGTTCTTATATCTTAAATCAACCCATTTCTATAAATCTATAAGTTGCCACGTAGCTCGTGGCTTACCGGTATCTTAACATCTTCTCATGGCGGCGGCTGGCTGCGTCTCTCTGCCTCAGCCTTCCACTTCCCAGATACTCTTCTCTGCTTGTCCCGCCTATACTCCCTGTCTGGCTACTGGCCAATCAGCATTTTATTTATACAGAGCAATATCCACAGCAAGGCCTTACTCAGGGTCAGAGAATCTGAACTTGCTTTACCCAGCAGGGTTGCATAATGGGATGATTTGGTCACAGGTGTGGTTGCCAGGTGTTTGGACTACACTTGGCTGTACATTGTGCTTTGATCTTGCAAAGGGAAAGTCTTTTGCCTCTCCCCTTAGTATTGTTTAAAAAACCCTTTTGGATAAACAAAGGAGGCTGGATATTGACCCAGGGCACTCCTGAAGATATCCTGTGCCTCTGTCTTTCTTCTAGGTCTATCTTTCTATCTGATATTTCCTCATTCCTCTCTCCTCCACCTAAGAACTCTTTGAAATGTCAAGACAGGTCCTCCCACAGACTTCCCCACAACTGTCCTCACTGTAAACACTTCACACTCTGCACTGCATCCCTGCTCTGTGCTCTGGGGTTAATCTACTTCCTGTGCAAGAAGCCCAGGAAGATGTGAGTCCACACAAAGGATGACAAGATCCAAGCATCATAGTCCACATGAAGGGCCTGAAAACTGTGAGCTCCTGTCTCTTTGAATAGGAGTGCTATGAAATCCTATCATTATTATGTAAAAATAAAGGCAGATGATCTCAGAAACAGAATTATTCATGTTCACCATTCATCTCCTCAAATACATAAAAAGCATCTTGGGAGGGGAAGTCATGTCAGTTGTTTGCTGATTACTCTTAGCACCTAAAAATCAAAACAAAATAGTTGTCAAAATATTTTACAGAATTAATAAATGAATGAATGAATGAGTGAATTATGTGGAGGCTATCAAGATGACAACAAATAAAACACATTATGAAATCTGCATGTAGAATAAATTTTTTGATTCTGTTTTCATTTTTAGGTTGCAAGCTTATACAGACAGAAACATTTCTCAGGGCAATAGACTGGCTATTGTACAATTTTAAGTGAAATATTAGTAGATTATTAAATTGCCAGAACTATGAACTGCAGCATGTTGGAATACCAAAGTAGATGGCATTTGTGACAATATGGTAGTTTTTGAAAATGATGTAAAAGATTTTAATAAAATCTAATATATTTTTCAACTGTGAGAGATGTTACTATCATTCTATTTTCTTATTATTTATTTTATATGCAAAATGCCATTTAACATTCTAAAATCTAGCTAGTAAGCAGATTCCTTTCCTTATTATTTTTTTTTTGTATTTTTATGGCAGTTGAATTAAACCCAGGGTCTCATACATGACTGACAAGTATTCTTCCACTGAGCTATACTGAAGGCCTACCTTCAGTAGTGATATATTGTGTACCCCAATAAAGCTTACCTGGGGATCAGAGGACAGGGCCAGCCACTAAATTAGACATAGAGGTCAGG